ACCGCTCGAAGATGATATAGTCGATGGGGCAGTTGTTTCGGTTTGTGCACTTTGTTGACTAGTAGTACCACTAACTTCGTTGCTAGAAGAATCTGGATCTGTAGTGTCTGGAGAACTAGACGAACTAGATCCACTTTTACAATTAGGAACGAGATAATCATGGTTGCAGCTTTGCAGAGTTGAATCCCAAGCTGTACCGGTGCCACACTGGAATTCGTACTTAGTAAACGTTGAACCACTACCGACGCAACGATAAAATTTACGACAATCTTCAGAATCAGGGAAGAACCCTTCCTTCGTGCATGTACCTGGCGGATTCGATGTTTCAGAAGTTCCTAAAAGACACATCAATAATTATTCTCCTGTCATCATTTAGATCGCCACATAAAAAACAAGTCATTAAAATACCTGTGGAACCAGGACTACCGGGTGTGCCAGAAGTACCGGGTGTGCCAGGGCTACCAGGTGTGCCAGGGGTACCGGGTGTGCCAGGAGTACCGGGTATGCCAGGAGTATCAGGTGAACTAGGGGTACCGGGTGTATCAGCAGTACCAGAGCTACCAGGAATTCCAGATTCTCCAGGAGAACCAGATGTACCAGATGACCCAGGTGTGCCAGGAGTGCCTGGTGTGCTAGGAGATCCAGGAGTGCCCGGTGTACCAGGAGTTCCAGGGCTACTAGGGATTCCAGATTCTCCAGGAGAACCAGGTGTACCAGGGGATCCAGGTGTGCCAGGAGTGCCAGGAGTTCCAGGGCTACTAGGGATTCCAGATTCTCCAGGAGAATCAGGTGTACCAGGGGATCCAGGTGTGCCAGGAGTGCCAGGAGTTCCAGGACTACCAGGTGTGCCAGGAGTTCCAGGACTGCCAGGTGTGCCAGGAGTTCCAGGACTGCCAGGTGTACCAGGAGATCCGGGGGTGCCTGGTGTAGCAGAAGATCCAGGACTGCCAGGAGTACTAGGAATTCCAGAACTACCAGGTGCACCAGGAGAGCCAGGACTGCCAGGTGTGCCAGGAGATCCGGGAGTGCCTGGTGTACCAGGGGACCCAGGACTGCCAGGGCTACCAGGTGTACCAGGGGATCCAGGGATGCCAGGAGTCCCAGGACTGCCAGGTGTACCAGGGGATCCAGAGCTACCAGGAGTCCCAGGACTGCCAGGTGTACCAGGGGATCCAGGACTACCAGGTGTACCAGGAGTTCCAGGAGTGCCTGATGTGCCGGGACTACCAGGTGTACCAGGGGATCCAGGACTACCAGGTGTACCAGGAGTTCCAGGAGTGCCTGATGTGCCAGGACTACCAGGTGTACCAGGAGAACCTGGTGATCCAGAAATTCCGGGTTCCCCAGGACTACCAGGTGTATTTGGAGTTCCAGGGCGGCCAGGTGTACCGGGAGTTCCAGGTTCGCCAGGGGGTGCAGGTGTGCCAGGAGTTCCAGGGGTTCCTGGAGTACCTGGAGTACCTGGAGTACCAGGTCTCCCAGGGGTTCCGGGTGTGCCTGGGGTGCCTGATGTGCCGGGAGTACCAGGCGTGCCGGACGTGCCTGGGGTGCCTGGAGTTCCAGGGGTACCAGGCGTGCCAGGCGAGCCAGAAGTGCCTGGTGTACCGGGGTTACCAGGGCTACCAGGTGTGCCAGGCGTACCAGGTGTGCCAGGCGTGCCAGGTGTGCCAGGGGTGCCAGGGGATCCAGACGTATCAGACGTACCAGGCGTTCCTGGTGTACCTGGTGTACCAGGAGTTCCTGGACTGCCAGGGGTACCAGGTTGTCCATTGGGATCTCCAGGTTGACCTGGTTGACCGGGTGTACCACTAGGATCTCCGGGCTGTCCGGGACTACCTGAATCTCCGTTCCATTGTCCTCCATTATCTCCAGTATCACCATTCCATTGTCCTCCATTATCTCCCGTATCTCCATTCCATTGTCCACTGTTATCTCCGTTCCATTGTCCACTATTATCGCTGCTACCACCTCCAGTCCCTGTACCTTCCTTGCAATCTTCCCGTGATACGGCCCAAGCATGATTACACCCTTCAATTTTTGGATCCCAGACTGTTCCAACCCCGCATTCAAATTCGTACTTAATGAATTTTCCAGAACCCTCGTCAACGCATCTGTAGAATTTTCTGCAATTATTCGAGTCAGAAAAGAATCCTTCACGAGTGCATTGTGTTTGCTCTTGGTCGTTCCCTGGTTGTCCACTTGTTACAGAAGGTTGGTTGCTCGTTGTCGGTGGACTTCTGGTAGTCGTTTGGTAAGATGTTTGCGGTGGTCCAGTTGTGGTTGTCGTAACCTGAGTCGTAGTCGTAGGTGGTGCAGTCGTGCTCGTGATAACTGCCTCCGTTGTCCATTGCGTAGCTGGTGCTTGCGATGGTGCTTCTGCACCCGAATCGATTTCATTATCGTATCCACCACATTCTGGACGTCCGCTGTCGTTCGGATGAGTACAGATATTACCCCTCTGAGGGGAAAACACTGTGCCAGCAGCACATTCGAATCTAAAATTCATTAGAGGTCTCCCATTTCCCCAATCGACACATCTGTAGAACGTCCTACAGTCGTGAGGATCAGGATGATATCCTTCTTCTACGCACGTGAAATCCTTCCTTCCTCTTCTAGGTGGATGTACACGACGATGGAAAGAATCGAGATCTAAAATAATAAGAATATTTACAAATAGCGATTATCCCTGAACGTGTTTCCTACGAAAGATTTGCAGTAAAAGATCAGAGTATTCGAGCTTAGTTCGTAGTACGTAGTAGACATAAAGAACTCTACATTAGTAAAGTTTCCTTCGATGCATTCAAGGCCATACGTTCCGTGCGAAACCAGTTTGAAGACACTGGGAACAACAACGTTGCTGATGGGGTTGACGGAAAATAAAAATGATGGCAATGCACCGTGGAATCAGTAAGCGTATCACGTGTTGTGCGAGCTGTGCTGTAAATGGGCTTGTCAAGAAAATAGATAGTTCACGCATTCCCTAAACGGACCTTCACCGCGAACCTTTCATGCCAGCTCAACCGCAACCCGTGAATACCTTAAACTAATTTTACTTCAAAGTTCGAATCAACGAAGGAGATCTTACCGAGTTCCGCAAACGTCGAAGAGACTAATATTACCAGCACCCCTAATGCTCGCACGTCCGTCCACATGGTTTCGATTCAGCGTATCTGCAAACAAAAGGACTCATCTGAATAAACACTGCGACAAGGATCAACGTGAATTTCATCAATCCCGAAAGACGATTTAACGGTGATCATAAATTTAGATCCAGCGATGTCCGAACTCCTATCGTTTTAACGGGATAGCACGGCGTGACGTAATCTGTTTCGTTTTCTAGGCCGAGAGGCGTGGATTTCCTCAGTTGAGAATTTCGCATAAACGACCAAAGATAAGCAGTCGAAGACAGTTACTCTTACGTTCTGCTTGGCCCACGTCCAATCTTCCTCCATCAATGGTGTCCGAAGGATCGTAACTGTCAGCCCCATCGTTTGACCCTGGCTGAAAATCATTCCCTGTCACCGACAGTTCAGGATCAAACGATTCTCAGTTGAACGGCGTCTCCGCGGACAGATTGGTGGCCCCGATTTTTTCCGCTGATCATCGACTGCTCGACAGACGTGCACGTGCTAGGGCAATGATTTGAATACGCGACCAGTTGCTGATTCACTTGTACAGTTACGTTAGCATCGATTTCCGACACGCCTTTAATGATTTAACGCTACAGCCTTTTTTCTCAGCCGATACCGCAAATCAGCGTTCCCGTGAACGGAATAAGGAAGACGAGCCCGCCGTGAATGTCTAGCTTCGCCGTCTTGGCCGAGCCGCAACCCTATCTGCATTGCAAACTCCTTAATTCCCATCGCGACGAATTCTTTCTATGCAGCGAGTGCAATGATTACCGGGTAACAGTAACAGTCTCGCGAATCGTTTATCGCGTAACAGTACTCGAGGTTCGACTAGCAATCGCGAACACCGATCGTCGAGTAGCCACGCTACCCACCACGAGGGGATTCCCGGCAAGCTCACCGACCTCTGTCACGGAGTATCATTCCGCGGATTTATCTCGCTGCACGTATAAGACGTCACGCGAGACTCGAGGTTTGCAGTTTCTCTACGGTTTATCGCGATAGAACGAGGAAAGAATCGTTCGGTAGAGGGATCCTATACCCTCGCCCTACACCTTGGTTAGCAATCTGCACCCACACGCGGCGAACGCCGGGTACTTCATAGGCGGAGTTGCATCGCTAGCCAACATTGTCAATCGCCTGACAGGCTATCGATGCGTTTAAAAATGGCAAGCACGGTATCGCGACGTTGATCCCATCAGAGAAATTTCATTACCGCTTGCTATCGGCCGCTGGCATCGCTGGGTCGAGCGAAATTTAGTTGTTCGGCCACGAATATCGTATTAATCATTCGCGAGATAATCGTAAAATACTACCACGACGTTTCTCTCCTCTCGCGCATTCGCGTTCCTTTTTTCATCTGCCTGGTTATCCGTGGCACGAGAGATCGATTCGAATCTAGATAAATTGCCCGAAGGCCCGACGCCAGCGATTAGGTCTCTAAAGTTTCACATCGTTAATCATCCTCGCGATTTATGCTTCTCTGTTACCCTCGCGGGACCTCCGCCTATGAGCAACACGCAATACGCGCCGGATGCAGCGAGGTGCACTGGATCCAGTGCCATAAATACCATTCGCCGATGCGGCAGCGGCGATGCTGCGCAACCTCGTAACGAATTGCACCGTGCACGACCTACGACTGGTCAAGATGCACGCGAATGTATGCGCGTAGCCGTCGAAAGGAAGAACGATAAATCCAGACCGGGGCCGAAAGTGGCGAACGAAGGTGTTCTCCAGTCAGAGAAGGGGAGAAAGCTAAGCGTTGAAAAGCTGGATCTCAACCGGACCATTCTGCCCGCCTCTGTGATCCTTTCTCCCGCTGACTAGAGTGAAAAGGGGATTGCATGGCCAGTGACATAACTCGAGAATGCGGCTTCTCCGAGTCCACTGCGACTCCGGAGCGAGAGAAGAGGAGAGAGTGTAGTGACATAACACGGCAGAGTCAATGTCAGTGTCAGCGATCTTGGCATTGAAGCGAGCTCACTGCTACCCAAATGGAAACTGGTCCGAGGTTTACACATCGAAGTGTATTCTTCGAATCCATTGGATCATTTTCAGTCACTACTGGGACATTTGCTCGATCGAAGTAGGCGATGGTACCTAAAACCAAAGGTTCAGAGTTAGGTCCCGTTAGGACGACGTATCTATGAGTATAGATTTTTAACGATGTCAAAGTAGAACTCGTAGGTCGCGGATTTGATCCGTAGCTAGTCCACGTGATTCGTCACGAATGGCCCGTGCGATTTGGGCGAAGCACTACTCTCCTCGTTGAATGAAACATTTCGCGCGGCGAGGGTTCAAGCCCCGTTCACACGAGATCCGTGCTTTGAATACCAATCGGCCGGTATCCCGTGCAGACGGCGTTCCCGATTCGTTCAGAATCGCGCGAAAAACAGAAGGATACGTTCCGTGGGTAGCATCTCAAGCAGCCTCGTCCGAAGACCAAGTGCTCCAGAATCGAGCAACAGAACTCCTGGAATTTTTGCATCTGCAGTTTCAGCGAGCGACGAAATTTATGACTGAAGAACCTGCCATGGCAAGTTCCAGCGATTCCTTTGGAATAAAAATCCAGGTGGGTACCAAACCTGAATTCGACCGAGATCACAGAAGGTCCTAATAAATGGTTCAGTATATAAATTAAATAAATTACGTTGTAAGTACTGTTAACTGTCGTACAAACGAAACGTTTATCGCGATGTTAACGTAACTAGGTTATTATCGACTCGATAATTTGTCATCGACAGAGCGCGGATAGCAATTTATCAGCCCCCGTTCGATCGCGAATGCACGAGCAAACACAAGTGTAGCTGGATGTCCGAAATGTAGCACAAGCGTCGTGAAGGTGTAAAGAGAGACGAAGCAGAGGGAACGATCACGGAGAAGGTACACGACTTATTTATAAAGCGATTGCAGCCTTTGCGCCACCTGCTGCTGCTGGCTGATCGCAGGACGAGAGAACTGGAAGAAGCCTTGGGACATTCGAAGGCCGGTCTGTATCGCGTACATCGTGCTCCTCTCCGGCAATTAAACTCGCTTTCAGAGCATATTTTCGTCGTAAAAATTATAAGGCTGCCGAATCACGGACTGCGTACGTTCATCTCCTGGTCCACGAAAAGAAGAGCCGGGGGATCGCCCTCCGAGAATGCTTTTTAAATATTCAAATATTCACAGCGATTTTACAGTTCCTTTTTTCGACGCTTTGAAAATAACTTGAAAATAACGACGAGAGGTAATTTGGAGAAGAGGCAAACGACTGGGAAGGTATCATTAATTGTACATCTTGCCGCGAGACCTGTGATTTAACGGTTCCACGGGCCAAAGGCACCCGGAAGCCAAGGAATTTCGGATTCCGGCCGAGCCATCAAAGTAACGATTTAATTAATGCCTTCCCTATCGGTGCACGAGGAGCGTAAACTCCAACGTCCAGGGTACCGCCTGCTCAGACGTCGGCCAACTTTGAGTCACTTTCGGAGTAAGTTAATAAACCTTCCACCGGATCTCCATCAACCTCGCCGCGCTTTGCACGTCCACACGTGCACAATGATGTAGAAATAATTCGCGAGGAGGATGGTAAATGACTGGTTTCTCGCGCGTCGCTTTTTACTCCGTCTCTCGTACTTTCTTTCTGTTCCTGTTTCCATTCTTCCTGCCAGAAGATACGTTTTCGCCGTGAACGATACGACAATCTTCTCGACGAAAGCCAGCGGGATTAGCAGCAAAGGGAAAAATGCAGCCGCGTAACTGTATAGTCGAAACGCGTGGCCTCGAATTAAAATCAATCGACCGATGAATCGCGGATCACGAATCAGGAAATCGAAGGGTACAGTTAGCCGTGTCGCTATCCTTGCGGGTGTTTCGTTCACGAAGAGCAGAGAAATGAAGAAGAAATAGCTGGATAACCCTGACAATTATCCTAATCGCCTGAACGTCCATCGTGCACTCTGAGGGTCTTCTTGGTAGACGAAAGAAGATTCTTGCACTGTTTTCACGAATCAAATTTCGCGATGCTTCGAACAGCGAGTTCTCGGATGCTCGCAAGGTAGAAGAACGTAGCTGGACCTTGAGGATCTTGGAATGGCCAGTTTGATCGAACCAGTTCTCGATCTGAGACAGAAACTGACGACCGACTGTTCTTCGAATCCATAAATGCCGTAGTTCGAAAGAGAAATTCTTGCATTCGATCCTCTTACCCGAAGGAGATCCAGTTCTCCATTCGATAGAGAGGAAAATTCGATAAAACGGGAAAAAGGAGGCAAAACGTAGAAAGATGAGAACTCGAGACGCTTGGCATTCCGTTTGCGAGACAGTCGAAGAGCCAAAGTAGTCGCATGCCTAATTGAACCAGTTTGCAAACGTCCGGAGGGGTGCTGGCAAATAACAGAGTAGCTAATAGAAGGATAGGCGGCACCCTGACGAAGAACAGCGCCGATGCAATCCGGTGCAGTGAACCTAGAGTGTTATGATGGCGTGCAATAAGTGCAGCCTTGCCGTGGAAAGTCGCAAGGTCGTTTCTTCTCCCACCAATTCTACGTTTCCCCTCTCTTTGGATATCCTCGTTTATCACCAATGGCGTAGGAGTTGCTTAGATAATTGAATCGTGTCAGGAAGCCGACACTTGAATCGATCAATTGGATAACGTCCCATTCCAGGCCGAATTGCCTACTCTTCGATGAACCAGCTCTCTAAAAAGATACAAGATATCGATGAACATTCGTTTCCAATTCTACGATAACGATCGAAACGTAGATTCCATCTCTTACGAAAGCCCTGCTAATCGAGATCGGTGAAACTCTCGATCTCGACGTCACTGAGTCGACTCGGGACGAAACATCCTTCACGGTTTCCATGGCAAACGTGTCCCTTGCCAGAGGTAATCGTATCCTCGGCGGCTCGCAATTAAAGGGATACTTGTAAATTGCACGCACAAGCCTACGCTTACCCTGTCGTCTTCATTTTTCCATTATCCACCTTATTCGCGACCGCAATCCCGCGTGCAACGCTGACCGGAGATTTATCATGCATCGCGGGCCTGGTACCAGCGAGAGGTTCAAGGCTCTGCACGCCCGTGCATCATGCTTGCGAGAAAATGAGAAATTCCGTAGGGCTATTACCGGTGACGTAAATAGAGCGTAATTACAGCCAGGGTACATCAATGAAGGAGATAACATGAACGAATGGGCCTTCTTTCGAGCTATTAATTCTAGATAATCCGTTGCACATGATTCCATCGCGTGAGAAGATTATGTCGCGTTTTCGACGTCAGGGGAAATCGAATCTCCATCCTTTGATTTATATGGTTAGTATCGTTGTCGGCCATGTAGATGTCTTCGAGACTTTTAAGGGTTATCAACGACCGTTTCTTTTAAGGGTTATCATCCTTTCTGGATGAGACTCGTGCTACGTAACAGGTGTCAATTGCTATTCAGGTTAATTGGAGAACGTGGAGAAGCAACGTACTTGCGGAGATCGTTCAGCATAATCGTGATTGTACCAAAGGTGAGAGCAGGAATAAAGTTGTATCGTTGAATAGATTCGTTCTACAAGAAGAATCATCAGTAAATAATAGCGTGAGTCACTATCACGGGATTTTTCTGTCCTCCATGAAAAATCGGCTTCTAATCGGAATTCTGGAATCTCCCGAGGTTGCTCTTCGATCGGACACGATCGTTAAAGTCTCGTTAATGATGGAATGTTTTCTCCTGTTACGCGTGATCGTAATAGTTTTCCAATCCCTTTTGTCACTTTATTGGACTGCGTGCGTTTCAGAATTCATACAGGCGCAGAGTCAGGCGAGAAAGAGTAAGAGGCTTAAACGATTCGTCGATTAAGCAACGCGAAACGTATACTCCGGCTTTCTTATCGACTCGATTAATTTTTAATCGTCTTCTTATTGCACCTGACAACGAAATAAACCCGTGGGTGAGAGAAGGACTGCACTCACCGGCTCGTAAACCGCGCCAGTGGAATGTCCTTCGCGGATTCCCAGTTTTTATCGTGAACCCGGGAAGAATGGCTCGTTGAAGGAAATGAAAAACCATAGCTTGCATCCGTGTCTCGTGCAAACGTGCGTTTCACTTATTGCACCTTGCAACTGTGTTTAATTTCATCGAGTGTCACATATCTGCATGATATTGTATTGCGGCCATTAATAAAACGCTGAGCAATATATACGTATACACCAAAACGATATTCGCGTTCTGGTTGCAGGCTGAAGTATCAGAGACCATGGGGACTTTGATGAGACCATGGTGACTTTGATGAGACCTCCTGCTACCTTCGAGCATGCAGATGATTATTATAAAAGACACATTAATCGTTTCCTTCTTATTTATATTCAACGAGGTCTGCCGACGATTACTCTAGCTCCCAAAATATTTTTCGTCGGCCTTGCAAAATCGCTCCATTTACGGTGACGAGGATCGTGACGAGGCAATGTCGAGGACGAGCAGTTGCATCGGGCTCTCCTGAGGCTCCTGCACGAACGACTCAATGCCAAAAGATGGACGAATCGTTTCGACTGGTTAAGCGGAATGCCTGGCCGATCCAAATACAGCTCGCGATTTTCGGGCCGGTCGATGCGACGAGAATCGGCAATCGACCTGGGAATTTTCGGCTGGCACACGTCCGACCGCTGACACGTTGTAACTTTTGTATATCGTGTCTGTAACCCGGTAAAACAGTTACGTGACTCTGGCGAACGTAAAAGGTACACGGTGCCGGTTATTTTTCGGCCTCCTCGGGCAATCGCACGATTATCAGAGCAGTGCGAAAAAATTCCCAACTTTTGGTTTTACATACAGAGGTACTTCAGATTATATCTAGCCGACCTTTAATGTGTTTATGACACTGGCGCTTAGTTTTTTTCAGATACCGTATCGTTTATCATCTTGTTTGCGATGTGTGTAGTTCCGTAGACGATTGTAAACACAATGGCAGTTGATAATGTGCATATTCATTTTCTGTGTTCCTTTCGTGATTTAAGCCGATAGAAATTACGCTGATGTCGCTGAAATTATTTTCTTTGTTCTTGATGTCAGTGTCGCTGCGAAACGTATACCATACGCAGAGAATGATATGTGATGTATCATAGAGGACGTTCTGCTTTTAAGAGTCAACCACGAATCGGTGGGTTTAAAATTTCGAGATAGGGAAATGGTAACAATAATTGGTGTATCTCATAAACATAATTGTTGGTATACCTAAAAAATAAGAAATTACTGATATCGATAAAGAATAAAAAAATAATTGAAATTATTTCAGATATAAAAATATGAAAATATAAGATAAGAAAGTATAAATAAATTTTCTAGGTCTAATAAATTAATAATTTCTAAAAGGAAGAAAGAAAGTAGGCTTGCCATTCTCATTGCTACTCTGATATACCTATAACGCTATTCGCGTGTTGCATTCTAATCGAGACAAATTACGACATCGTAGCAATCGGCAATCGAAAAAATTGATCGAATGTAATTACAAGATCATGGTACCGAGCAACGTATTAATCAGTCGCTGAATCCGTTCAGAAGTCAAGCTTTCGATCGATCTATCCCCGCTTCCTTTCATCGAATTAAGAGCCGCGTATTAATTAAGCGTATCGGCAGAGTTTAATAGCGATATATGTATGCAAGGTCTCGACGTGAGGTGTGTTACATTAATCCTACTAAATTTTGACGTCACCGTTACACGATTATTACGACACGTGAAAAAGATGCTAAACAGGCAAGTGAGTCAACGAGAACGACAAGAGGCCTCGAGACCACTCCAGTTATCAAACGTATCGTAATTAGAGAACGATTGGGACCCGTTCAAAGTCCTGTCCAAATCGTTTAGGAGTTCGACTTCCAAATCTGTACTAATCTATTTCCTATAGCTACTCGTCCGCGGCTAATCTGTTTTCCAACGATGAGTCAAATATTACGACGAGTGGTATTTGGAACACACGTCGTGAGGTTTACACACGCAAATCCACGTTCACTCGAGAAATGGTGAGACAATAGGGCTTTAACGAGTCTCAAACATTTCTGTTTTCAGAGAAATTATTCAGAGAAACACCGTAAAATTCACTGACAATGTAGCACTGTGGCAGCTTCCAGTCGACTCGAAGCAGATCACTCGCGACATGATGCTTTGCCAAAAAGAAAAGAGATGTTTTCTGAAATGGAAGCGTTAATTCCTGTCCCGCGGGGGATCGAGTAAAATAGGAGAAAGCCGACAACGACGAAGGAAAGGAGCAATTACTCACCTGTACGTAGAATCAACGTCGAACTGAAAAGTCCTCTTTAATTCGAACAGGTGCTCCTCATCTCGCGATAGGTTCCTAATTTCCAATTTTCCACGTTGTGGATTCACGATCCTCCGTGTGCCGCGGGATGCTCGAATGTGACGCGAGCCGACGTGTTTTCAGGAACTATTCTGGAAATCGGTTGCCGATCGTGGCACGTTCTCGAGAGGGAGTAAGTCCTGAGGACGCGGATGGCTCCTACTTATAAAGACTTGGCCAAGTCTTGGCTCTCCAATTGGCTTCCACGTGTGTGTTCAACGTCTACGTAAGTCGGTACCCCCTGCACGTGCGTAGGTATGCGTGTCTGCGTGTACACAAGAAGGAATCGTGGCTTCGTCCAGGTGGAAGGGGGCACAAACCGTGTTCCGATCGTTATACGCTCGATGCTGTTACACATTACACGGAGCCAATGCTGAATCGATGAACGGATATCATCTTGGACGAAATCGGTTCTCTTTTTCCCCGCTGAATCATTTTCCCTCCGACTTTCACGCTTCTAGACAGTTATAGACCAAGTAAAAGTTGTAGAGTTTCGTTCTGCTAAAAAAGACACAAACAGACGAGGACCATTATTATAAATATATCAGTGTAAACATTTTATCGATATTCTGCAATACAATTTTACCTGTGAGCGAAGAAGAATTGACTATTCGTATACGTATGTTGATCTGTGTACAATCGTATGAAACAGGTTTCATTGCGCGCTATTACGTCTAGTGCTATGAATCGAGATTCTCGGGGATACTTCAATTAGTCCGACTCTCGTTCCTTTATTCCACACCGTTTCTATGAGGAGATCTTTATCGCAATGGTATTTTTATACAAGTACTAAAATGTGCTTGCAATTCGTTTCGACGAATCCAATTTGTTTCTCTATAAATAGTAACTATTATTAATTGCATGCCCATAGATAGAAATTTGATATACCTGCACCGTCTTTCAAGTCTCGTGATTTACTACAATTCCAAAGTGTCTGTTAGCTCCAAAAAAATTCACCCGTCTATCTTGGAAACGTTTTGCATAAACAGAATATGATTTCTTCGAAAATTTCAGATGTCGCGTTCTCATTCTCGGCATTTATAGAATTAGAGCTTTTCATGGGTAAGCCGTGTTTACGACGATAAGTGACGCGAAATGAAACCATAAATCTGGGTTGACAAGAAGCAGTGTTTGTCTCATGGTTGCAAATCACACACCTTCGTCCTTGCTGCGGTTACACGAGGCGATACTCCTCTTCTTTTTATTTTACAGCACATACACGCTAGTTTTCCACTCGACTGCCCAGCAACAGGTTCCTCTATTAATATCTCAATCGACATACGATCTGAAAAAAGGCCATCTCTGCCAAACATTGTCCCACAGATCGTCATTTTGTTCCTGGGATCACCTGTCGGTTTTCCAGGTAACGCATCTGGGAAATATTCGATACGTCAAAACCCCATCTAGCGCTGATAACGATGAAAAATTCTGATAAACGATACCGCGTAAAGTATTTCCTTGTTTTGCATCGACTGAATTTACCGGAAAAGACCTTCTCCATGAACTTCTTAGTAATGATTCGATTCGGTGGAATCGGTCTTATTATTCTTTGATAATACTGACTTGACGAGAGATATCTATCACTGGATTTTACTAGTACGTGTGCAAGTTTATTCTGGGATTTACAGAAATCTCCGCGAGTTGAAACGTACACAGATTTTAATCGTTGAAATGTAAGCTATGAAAAAAAGTGCATACAACATTACCAGGAAAATTAATTACCGTTGATAACACTGAACTGCATTTTACAGGAGACCTGTCTGCATCGAATCTGCATCAAGGGCAGCATTCGCAATCTTCTCTGGGTACATCGGTATATCGATAATTCTCCTAGATCTGCAAATAATACATTTCAGTATTGTCACTCAGGTCAAAAAGACACTGGAAGAACATCGTAATAACAAAAATGAAAAATTCCATTGCAAGGGAATAAATAAGTTATTAAATAAACGAAAGACAGTCGTGAAGATCTCACCGAAACAACATAAATCCATTTTTATCAATTTTCTGACTTTCATGTTATTTGTCAGAGGAACGATCCATTAAGTCCGAAGGCATAAATCTTCGCAAAACCATCAGAAACTTGAGCCATAATGGATTTCTCCTCTCCTAAAAACGAAAAGATAAAGGAAAATAAGAGGCCCTTCCAATCAGCTAATTATTCGTAACCGATTATTGCACCGAACCTGGGCGATGAAAGTGGTCGTCAGCAGCTCCCATAAACCACAATCCATTGGATCATCAGCGTTGATTAGCGAAACACATATCCGAAATATCTCGAGTTCGATCTTCCGGTTCAACGCGTACTCCATTGCCTCTCCAATTGTTACCCAAATTATAGGCTTCTGAGACGGGTCAACGTTTCTTAAGCAGCGGTTCGTCGAACTCTGTGGCATAGATAAAAATTTAGTTAAAGCGACGAGCAGGGAAGAATGAGAAAAAAGGAGGAACAAGATATAGAAGGGGGAAACATGGATTGTAATTTTTGGTAAAAAGACGCGCGTTCTCCGCGCCTACCAGGGTCAAGGGCCGTCGATTATCAGCAATTATCAGCGATTGTTCTCGCGTGCTCGTTCCACGCGAATTCCGGAATTAACGAAGCGGCCCGTGGGAATTTCGCCGTGCATGCCCGTTTCTTCTTTTTCCTTCCGACGTCCAAGGATGCTCGTGGACAACGCCTTGTCGGCGGAGAAACGATAGAAGCATTGAACTTACAGGCTAGAGAAGCCTCGAGGAACGAACGTGCGGTATAACGTACGTGTCTGCAGTCGTTGGTAACAGTATAACGCAATAAATGTACGGGATTCTGGTAAACGAAACCCTTAACTCGGATTCTCGTATCTTGGATAGCGAACGTTATTATTTTAAAGCGAGCTGCTGTAAATGTCCTCTCGGTAATATGCGATTATGGGGATGCTTGCGAGAGATGCGCCGCGTAAATTTCATTTGCTTTTGGTTTTATTGCTCGACTATTATATTCGAAGATCGAGAATTAGATACGGAGAGATATAGTATCAAACTTGGGGCGATCCTCGGTATCTCGAGACCAGTCGCGTTTTATGATAATCACGGTAAAATTAGTGGTCGTAAAGAGACGAATGGGAGATCTCTGAAGATCGTAAGGGAACTATCGAACCTGCCCTCGAATCTGACGGAACAATTGCTTGCCAGACGATGGGAGATCCTTCGCTGTAAATTGAATACGAATGGTACTACGCGAGCCAATCGCTCATTGTACGAACGTGTTAAAGGTATGAACGAGCAAGAGTATGGCAGCCGGCGCGGAAACACGAGTAGAAAACTAGGTAGTAGAACACGGTTGCAATGGGCAGACAGAGGGTCGGTGCATCAGCGTGCATACAGAAAATATACGATTGCAGAGAAAGAGAGTACAATGGACCGTATCTCAGACCTCGGTGGCCATAAATGTCTCAGAGGAAAAATCCTGCCCGACTGTCCGAGCGATTATAGCTGCGGTTTTACCTTGGATTCCTGCAAGGGAGGAGGCGATTCATCCCACGGAAAAGTCAGTGAATTAACGAGCAGTGGAATAAAGCGCGGAAGTGCGGCCCCTTGGGCCAGGTCTCGTATCCGCAGGCCTGATCCATGAATTATTTCTCTACGAACGACTGACTCGATTCTCCTGTCTTACAGATTTTTCAATCACCCAGGGGGAGCACTCGACGATGGGGTTGTTGTCTTTGTTTACAGGCTGGCTGTCTTTCGTGAGAATTTTCTAGCCATCACGCGAACTCTATTAATTCACCTAGATTTCTACATTCTAGCGTCGCGAAATCGTACAAAGATTCTATCTCATCCTCTCCGTTCGTGCGTTACATTTTCATTCGGTCGGTCGGATCACGAGCCCCCTGCCGGGCAAAGTTCAAAGGAGAAAGAAAAGGTGGAGCGATTGAAAAGAGGCAACAGAGGCGCCAGGCGTGAAAGTGAACAGGGTGCACCTGTTACCACCTCAGTGTGGAGCACCGGACGAATAATGACGAGGAATAATAAAGATCGCCCATGAATCCTCCTTACGCTTCTTTTTTGTCTTTCCTCTGGCACCGTCGATAGGGAGCGCAAACGAGAGGGAACCCTTGCTTGGAAGGCTTCGAAACCGGGCGCAACCTATAAATAACCACCGCCTCTTTGCATCTCTTTGCGCTTCTTTTCTTTCTCTTCTCTTCCCATTCCTCCGCCGCACCTCCGACGCACACGTTTTTGCGTTCAGAGACCCCGTAATTCAGGTTCCTTCGCACGTACGCGCGTACAATCGGCGCAATTAATGTCCGTAGCCAGAAACCTCGAGTCCCCGATTCGTGTTAGTTATAAAAATATATTCAAACGCGAGGAACAAACGCGTCATTGAAGATAGGAAATTGTTCGCTCCTTGGATTTAATTCGCCACTGCTGAGTACATTTATTTCCGGATACAATTCGCGACAGGGATGCGTTTGTATAAGAATCGACGAACACTCTCATGATGGCTATACCAGACAGTCTTTGGTTTCCTTAACGAATCCGATCGATTACACAGACTTAATACGTCTGCCTCCGCGCATCAACCTGCTTGGAAATATCGTTTAATCACGATATGCCGGGATGAGGTACAGCCGAAAGCCTGAGCGAGTAAGGCGAAAAACCGCAGGGGCCGCGTCAAAGGTACCTTTAAGTGGTAGTTGCTCGTTCGAATTCATTACGAGAGCCGATTATTTATTAGCCCAGATCGCAGGGTGAAAACGCGGCAGTTTAATGCAAAAGGCAGAGAGCAAGTTTTATCAATTTCCTCGAATTAGGGGGAACCAGGACGAAGTATACTTTTCAAGGGTTAATAACGTCCAGGGGAAGCAGCCGTGAACAGATAATGGCTTGTACCTGTTTTTTTAACGATACTCGTCCGAGGATCGTACGACAGATAATAACCACTGAGGATGATATCTTAAAATAATTTCATTTCACTTATTTCTACGAGGAAAAAGAATAAACTTGGGCA